ATCCAGCATAATCTCACAGTTGGCCATAATCCACAACAAAACGGGCTGACGGAGAGAATGAATAAACATTGGTAACTGCGTTAGCTCGTAGTACGCAAAACCCATCGGAATAGGATGCACGTCTCCCTTTTGTTCTTTATGCATACAACACGGCGCCTCACGATACAACAGAAGAGTCGCCCTACTTTTTACTTCATGGTTCGGATCCAGTACTACCTTTTCGCCCTGAAGCACAAGATAATATCCGAGGTCTAGTGTTCGATATTAATCATTACCGCGCTGAGTTGCTGCTAGGTTTACAAGAAATTAGAGCACATGCGTCGAGAAATTTGCGGGAAGTGCAAGCATTAGCTAAGAGATACTATGATACACGTAACAAAACAGCAGCAGGTGCTTTCAAAATGGGCGAACGAGTTTTTTAGTTTATATGCCTACACAGAAAGGCAAATTAGTCAGAAAGTATGCTACGCCTTATCGTATTATCGAATTATCGGAAAATAGCGCTCTAGTTCGGTTAACTGGTAAAACGGAACAATCTTTTCGAGTTCAAACTGACCATCTTAAAAAGGTACCTAAAGAAGTTGAAGAAGGAGAATGCTATATGGGAGCCACTAGGAGCAGAAAAATGGTTAGATGTATGAAAGATAGCATTAAGCAGGAGTTAAGAAGGAGTGCGAGCTTGCAGGCTAGGGGGGCTAACTTTTATTTTAGAAAAGTGACGATTAGGAAAGCAGTGAGCCGACAAACCCCGGAATATTTCAAACTAGCGCCGGGCGAAATCCAGTGTGGCAAAATGGGTTCGTATTAAGACAGCCCATCAACACGTAGGGATCCGCGGGGCTAACATATGCGATGACGCATTGATCAGTGGACGGGGAGATCAATGACAGTAGCAAATATTATGGAACGCGCGTGCGAGAAGATAGTAAACGAAGTTTCTGTTCTGTTTTGTCATTTTTTTTTCACTACGTTTTGCTACTGTGGTGTACTTTTTTTGCGTATATTGCTTTTGTTCTTGCGTGTTTTGCCACTTTGGCCATGATACGTGCATGGTTATTGTGAAACCATGTTTTTTTTGTGATGGTTATTTATTCGTACTTTTATTATATGGTGCGTGGGAACCACGCTACTGAGCTGGGAGGCATGTAACCCTATAATTCCACTTATTTCCCTCCTCTCACTAATCCTTAATACTTTGACCTACTTCCCTCCACACACTAATTTCTAACAGTTCCACCAAATTCTAAATAATTCCATATTGCCTGCTTTCTTACTCACTAACTACCTTGCCCTCCTTTTCCCTCCAGTAATTTTCCCTATACAAATTCCTTCCTGAAACCCAGGCCCTTAGTTTTGGGAATCAACATCCACTACGTTGATCCACTGCACCGTTGATCCACTACGTCATGCCTCGACTAACGCTACTAGCTGCTCGCCTCAAAACCACCAGCATCCTCCTTCTGCTGAACAGCTTGCGCGGCGCCCTGGCTCATCGTTTTATTCGAAGCGAAGCTTTTGTTGGAAAAACAAAGTGCTGGCATTCTTCCCTGTCTTCCGCTGCTGCAGTCAAGGACTACACGAGGACTTAACACTGTCACAATAAGAAAAGAATGGAACTTTCGTTCTTATTTGCAGCAGAACGGGAAAGGGCACTGGTTTTCGAGAAAAGATTTTCTCAAGTTGATTTTAACGGAAGTTTCCATGTGTTTTTATAGCCATGACATCGAATCTATCGTTTCTGAGACTTCAGTGTAAGGAAAGTCTTGAGGCCAGAAACTCGGTTTCGGGAAACGCTTTCACTTGTTTGCCATTTTCAGTTGGTGGTCCGGATGCGGCGGGAATGCAAATTTATTTTACTCGTACGATCACTGCATGTCGATTTGCGGTATATTTGCGGACAACCGAACAACAGTCACTCGTTTAGCTTCTCGGCGATCCATTCATAATCCACGCAACCATCAAGTTTGTCATGTGAATGCTTCTACCGAGTTCATTACGATATTTGCAATTATTAATTCTATATAACTTTTGTTTCCCGTTCCGATGCACTGGCATCTAATCAAACAAGTGAACGTATTTGTCCTTTTTACGCGTTTTTGCACATATCTGCAAAAGAAATCAATGGCGGCGCGCACTGGGCGGGCCCGTGCGATCATGCGTTTTTGCAGTGTTTAGCGCTGTAATAAGATCACTCGAAATTCCGCTAGCTAGAAAGCTTTTGTACATACTGGTTCTTGAATTTCGGGAAGTTAATTATCCACGCTATACTTGAACAGGGAACATTTCCTTGAAATCCCAGGTCCCCAGCTTTCTCAATTCCCGAGTTACCCAAATTCCAGCCAGAAAATTTCACGGGCCGTAGTGACAACCACGCCTAACGGGGGGCTGAATTTGATAAATTTAAGTTGTAGATGAGTTTGGAACATTTCCTGAAAGTTTCAGCCTCCCAGCTTCCCTGGTTACGGAATTATCCATTTTTCCACCGAAAAATTTCATTGGGCCGTACGTGGCAACCACGCATAGCGGGGGGCTCAATTTGATAAATTTAAGTTGTAGATGAGTTGGGAACATTTCCTGAAAGTTTCAGCCTCCCAGCTTT